CATCCATATGAACCTGCTATAACTCATTATTTATACTATTATACTGGTACCTGAGATGATGTTCTCCATGGTTCATTATCTCTAGGAAAACATCCATATGAACCTGCTATAACTCATTATTTATACTATTATACTTGTACCTGAGATGATGTTCTCCATGGTTCATTATCTCTAGGAAAACATCCATATGAACCTGCTATAACTCATTATTTATTACATTATACTGGTACCTCAGATGATGTTCTCGATGGTTCATTATCTCTAGGAAAACATCCATATGAACCTGCTATAACTCATTATTTATACTATTATACTTGTACCTGAGATGATGTTCTCCATGGTTCATTATCTCTAGGAAAACATCCATATGAACCTGCTATAACTCATTATTTATACTATTATACTGGTACCTGAGATGATGTTCTCCATGGTTCATTATCTCTAGGAAAACATCCATATGAACCTGCTATAACTCATTATTTATACTATTATACTGGTACCTCAGATGATGTTCTCCATGGTTCATTATCTCTAGGAAAACATCCATATGAACCTGCTATAATTCATTATTTATACTATTATACTGGTACCTCAGATGATGTTCTCCATGGTTCATTATCTCTAGGAAAACATCCATATGAACCTGCTATAACTCATTATTTATACTATTATACTTGTACCTGAGATGATGTTCTCCATGGTTCATTATCTCTAGGAAAACATCCATATGAACCTGCTATAACTCATTATTTATACTATTATACTTGTACCTGAGATGATGTTCTCCATGGTTCATTATCTCTAGGAAAACATCCATATGAACCTGCTATAACTCATTATTTATACTATTATACTTGTACCTGAGATGATGTTCTCCATGGTTCATTATCTCTAGGAAAACATCCATATGAACCTGCTATAACTCATTATTTATACTATTATACTGGTACCTGAGATGATGTTCTCCATGGTTCATTATCTCTAGGAAAACATCCATATGAACCTGCTATAACTCATTATTTATACTATTATACTGGTACCTGAGATGATGTTCTCCATGGTTCATTATCTCTAGGAAAACATCCATATGAACCTGCTATAACTCATTATTTATTACATTATACTTGTACCTCAGATGATGTTCTCCATGGTTCATTATCTCTAGGAAAACATCCATATGAACCTGCTATAACTCATTATTTATACTATTATACTTGTACCTGAGATGATGTTCTCCATGGTTCATTATCTCTAGGAAAACATCCATATGAACCTGCTATAACTCATTATTTATACTATTATACTGGTACCTCAGATGATGTTCTCCATGGTTCATTATCTCTAGGAAAACATCCATATGAACCTGCTATAACTCATTATTTATTACATTATACTTGTACCTCAGATGATGTTCTCCATGGTTCATTATCTCTAGGATAACATCCATATGAACCTGCTATAACTCATTATTTATACTATTATACTTGTACCTGAGATGATGTTCTCCATGGTTCATTATCTCTAGGATAACATCCATATGAACCTGCTATAACTCATTATTTATTACATTATACTTGTACCTCAGATGATGTTCTCCATGGTTCATTATCTCTAGGATAACATCCATATGAACCTGCTATAACTCATTATTTATACTATTATACTTGTACCTCAGATGATGTTCTCCATGGTTCATTATCTCTAGGATAACATCCATATGAACCTGCTATAACTCATTATTTATTACATTATACTTGTACCTGAGATGATGTTCTCCGTGGTTCATTATCTCTAGGAAAACATCCATATGAACCTGCTATAACTCATTATTTATACTATTATACTTGTACCTGAGATGATGTTCTCCATGGTTCATTATCTCTAGGAAAACATCCATATGAACCTGCTATAACTCATTATTTATACTATTATACTTGTACCTGAGATGATGTTCTCCATGGTTCATTATCTCTAGGAAAACATCCATATGAACCTGCTATAACTCATTATTTATACTATTATACTTGTACCTCAGATGATGTTCTCCATGGTTCATTATCTCTAGGAAAACATCCATATGAACCTGCTATTACTCATTATTTATTACATTATACTTGTACCTCAGATGATGTTCTCCATGGTTCATTATCTCTAGGAAAACATCCATATGAACCTGCTATAACTCATTATTTATACTATTATACTTGTACCTGAGATGATGTTCTCCATGGTTCATTATCTCTAGGAAAACATCCATATGAACCTGCTATAACTCATTATTTATACTATTATACTTGTACCTGAGATGATGTTCTCCATGGTTCATTATCTCTAGGATAACATCCATATGAACCTGCTATAACTCATTATTTATACTATTATACTGGTACCTGAGATGATGTTCTCCATGGTTCATTATCTCTAGGAAAACATCCATATGAACCTGCTATAACTCATTATTTATACTATTATACTTGTACCTGAGATGATGTTCTCCATGGTTCATTATCTCTAGGAAAACATCCATATGAACCTGCTATAACTCATTATTTATACTATTATACTTGTACCTGAGATGATGTTCTCCATGGTTCATTATCTCTAGGATAACATCCATATGAACCTGCTATAACTCATTATTTATACTATTATACTGGTACCTGAGATGATGTTCTCCATGGTTCATTATCTCTAGGAAAACATCCATATGAACCTGCTATAATTCATTATTTATACTATTATACTGGTACCTCAGATGATGTTCTCCATGGTTCATTATCTCTAGGAAAACATCCATATGAACCTGCTATAACTCATTATTTATTACATTATACTTGTACCTCAGATGATGTTCTCCATGGTTCATTATCTCTAGGAAAACATCCATATGAACCTGCTATAACTCATTATTTATACTATTATACTTGTACCTCAGATGATGTTCTCCATGGTTCATTATCTCTAGGAAAACATCCATATGAACCTGCTATAACTCATTATTTATACTATTATACTGGTACCTCAGATGATGTTCTCCATGGTTCATTATCTCTAGGAAAACATCCATATGAACCTGCTATAACTCATTATTTATACTATTATACTGGTACCTGAGATGATGTTCTCCATGGTTCATTATCTCTAGGAAAACATCCATATGAACCTGCTATAACTCATTATTTATACTATTATACTGGTACCTGAGATGATGTTCTCCATGGTTCATTATCTCTAGGAAAACATCCATATGAACCTGCTATAACTCATTATTTATACTATTATACTTGTACCTGAGATGATGTTCTCCATGGTTCATTATCTCTAGGAAAACATCCATATGAACCTGCTATAACTCATTATTTATACTATTATACTTGTACCTGAGATGATGTTCTCCATGGTTCATTATCTCTAGGAAAACATCCATATGAACCTGCTATAACTCATTATTTATACTATTATACTTGTACCTGAGATGATGTTCTCCATGGTTCATTATCTCTAGGAAAACATCCATATGAACCTGCTATAACTCATTATTTATTACATTAAACTTGTACCTCAGATGATGTTCTCCATGGTTCATTATCTCTAGGAAAACATCCATATGAACCTGCTATAACTCATTATTTATACTATTATACTTGTACCTGAGATGATGTTCTCCATGGTTCATTATCTCTAGGAAAACATCCATATGAACCTGCTATAATTCATTATTTATACTATTATACTGGTACCTCAGATGATGTTCTCCATGGTTCATTATCTCTAGGAAAACATCCATATGAACCTGCTATAACTCATTATTTATTACATTATACTTGTACCTCAGATGATGTTCTCCATGGTTCATTATCTCTAGGAAAACATCCATATGAACCTGCTATAACTCATTATTTATACTATTATACTTGTACCTCAGATGATGTTCTCCATGGTTCATTATCTCTAGGAAAACATCCATATGAACCTGCTATAACTCATTATTTATACTATTATACTTGTACCTGAGATGATGTTCTCCATGGTTCATTATCTCTAGGAAAACATCCATATGAACCTGCTATAACTCATTATTTATACCATTATACTTGTACCTCAGATGATGTTCTCCATGGTTCATTATCTCTAGGAAAACATCCATATGAACCTGCTATAACTCATTATTTATACTATTATACTGGTACCTCAGATGATGTTCTCCATGGTTCATTATCTCTAGGAAAACATCCATATGAACCTGCTATAACTCATTATTTATACTATTATACTGGTACCTCAGATGATGTTCTCGATGGTTCATTATCTCTAGGAAAACATCCATATGAACCTGCTATAACTCATTATTTATACTATTATACTTGTACCTCAGATGATGTTCTCCATGGTTCATTATCTCTAGGAAAACATCCATATGAACCTGCTATAACTCATTATTTATTACATTATACTGGTACCTCAGATGATGTTCTCGATGGTTCATTATCTCTAGGAAAACATCCATATGAACCTGCTATAACTCATTATTTATACTATTATACTTGTACCTGAGATGATGTTCTCCATGGTTCATTATCTCTAGGAAAACATCCATATGAACCTGCTATAACTCATTATTTATACTATTATACTGGTACCTGAGATGATGTTCTCCATGGTTCATTATCTCTAGGAAAACATCCATATGAACCTGCTATAACTCATTATTTATACTATTATACTGGTACCTGAGATGATGTTCTCCATGGTTCATTATCTCTAGGAAAACATCCATATGAACCTGCTATAACTCATTATTTATACTATTATACTGGTACCTGAGATGATGTTCTCCATGGTTCATTATCTCTAGGAAAACATCCATATGAACCTGCTATAACTCATTATTTATTACATTATACTTGTACCTCAGATGATGTTCTTGATGGTTCATTATCTCTAGGAAAACATCCATATGAACCTGCTATAACTCATTATTCATACTATTATACTTGTACCTGAGATGATGTTCCAGGTGGTTCATTATCTCTGGGATAACACAGACTGTAACGTCCATGTACATCTGGCTTTAACTCATTATAACAGGAGTCATTCTCTGTTGTAAGACTTGATGCTGATGTTTTTACTTGGCAACCACCATCTTCTTTCTTCTCTTTAAATGTTTAATGAAATTTTAAAAACAGTATATTATTGTTAATTGATTATGTTTGATAATCTTAATGGTAAGCTTCTAAATTGATATTTCTGACATGCTATATAAAGTTTTAAGTATGTAATATTGTATGTATATTACTAACAAATATTAACAGCTGTATATATGTATATGTCATTACTTGTGTTGAAAAAGGCTTGAATAAGATACCTGAGTATTTGATGTTTTTATATATTTTTTTTTTATCAAACTTCAACACCATTTTGTTTTTAATAACAACATCCATTTTCCTATTTATCAAAGACCATTACTTTCTGAATATTTAAAGTGAAAATCATAAATATTGAATTTGACCTCTATTTTGTCATCAGTAACGATATACAAAAAATTTGAAAAGCGTTGGTTGAAGGGTTCATAATATATTGCACTGAAACAACAAAAAGCAACTTTCCAATCAATTTAGGACTATTACATCTGAACGGCAATAAACAGCTGCGCCATGAGCGCATGATACGCCCGTCGTCTTGTGTGTGAATTTTTATGCAATAAGCATAAATAGTTTCTGACATACAGCTTGACATGCGAAAACCTCCTTTTTTTTTTACAAAACACTCAATATCTCTAAAATAAAATTTTGAATCAAAACCAAAAAGTTTACAGATCTTTAGATTAATATAACTAAGAAGTGTGTAAAATTTTAAGCAATAATCATAAATCGTTTTTGAGATACGGCGCGACATGTGAAAACCCCCTTTTTAAAAAATAAAATCAATATCTCAAAAATAAAATTTTGAATCAAAACCAAAAAGTATACAGATCTTTAGATTAATATAACTAAGAAGTGTGTAAAATTTTAAGCAATAATCATAAATCGTTTTTGAGATACGGCGCGACATGTGAAAAACCTCTCCCCCTTTTTTTACAAAATACTCAATAACTCAAAAATAAAATTTTGAATCATCACCAAAAAGTATACAGATCTTAAGGTTAATATAACTAAGAAGTGTGTCAAGTTTTAAGCAATAATCATAAATTGATTTTGAGATACGGCGCGACATATGAAAAACCCCTCCCCTTTTTTAACAAAATACTCTATACCTCTAAAATAAAATTTTGAATCATCACCAAAAAGTATACAGATCTTAAGATTAATATAACTAAGAAGTGTGTAAAGTTTTAAGCAATAATCATAAATTGTTTTTGATATACGGCGCGACATGTAAAAAAAAACACACACCTGTTTTAGTTACTAAGTCCCGTAACACAAAAAGTTTTAATCTTATTTTCACCAAAAAGTATACAGATCGTTTGACCATCATAAGAAACAACTATGTTAAGTTTCATGAAATTTGGATAAGTCATTCTCAAGTTACGGTGCGACATGTTTACACCGGACAGACAGACGGACAGACAGACGGACAGACATACGGACGGACACCGGACATTTGTATACCATAATACGTCCCGTCAAAAATTGACGGGCGTATAAAAATGAGGTTAGTCAATATCGAACTTGAACTTCATTTTGTAATCAGGAACAACATATTAAAAATTGAAAAGCATTGGTTAAAGGATTTATAAGATATTGCATAGAAACGACATAACTTTAAGCCAGTTTCCAATCCATCTTGGACCATTACATATGAACGGCAAGAGTGAAGTCAGTCAATATCAAACTTGAACTTCATTTTGTAATCAGTAACAACATATTAAAATTTGAAAAAGCATTGGTTAAAGGGTTCATTAGATATGGCAAGGAAACTGTTGGTATCTGGGATCATCCCTTGCTGTCATAAACATTTTGAAAGAGATTATCTTACAGACTCAGAAATCAACCAATCAAGGTACTGGATTTTGTTTGTTGAGCACAATTTAGCACTGTGAGTAATAAGTTAAGTTTAATATCCATAAGCCCTGGTGTAATACCTTGATCAAATAATGCTCCAGCAAAACGAACTTTTATTAATCTTCCTCTGTGACAGGTATCATTTATTGTTCTAACACAATCTTCTGCATGGGACAACTGTCTGAATTTAACAAAAGCAAACCTGAAAGAAAAAATATTTTCAGAATACATGTTTACTTATTGGTCATATGTGATTTGATTATTTCAAATAAGAATTTCTTTATTTTTTTCTGTCTGAGTCTTTAAGATTGTGATTGATTATTTTTTACTTACTAATTTGGTTCTTTTCTTGGTAGGAATGTTCTTGAAAATGGTTTCCTTTGTTTTTTTACCTTATTTCAAAATCAGAATGACAAAGGTTTTACAATAATATATTCATAAACCATCTCCTTTAACTTCTGAGCACAATGAAATCATATTTGTCATCCATTTGAAAAACATCATCCTCAAAAGCCAACCAAATGTGACATCATGACGACACCATGCATCAAAATCTTATTTTTTAATGTTTGAGATATAATACACATACTGGAAAAATTTATACATCTAAAAAGGATTCAGTAATCCCTTAAACTATCAATAAAACAGACATTTCAGTGGAAATGCCAAATCATTTTTAAGACTACTGGCTCTTAACAGCCTGAATCACTCACCACAAAAATATGCCATTTTGATATTCATTTTCACATTTTTGGTCATGTGACGTATCTTTATATCTTACCTTGATGATAATTTATGCTGTTTACAGTTTCTATCAATCTATTACAGTTTTTAATATATCAGGTCAAGATGCTTAAATTTGTCCAAATTGTCATATAAAGGGCAAAAACTCATTTAAGGAGTCACCTGAGAATTTCATTAGCAATGAAAGAGAGTTAGATCTTGACTTTCTGAGCATGCCAGTAAGATTTTTTCTTATTTGGTTTTAAAGATACAAGACAATTACTTGTATCAAACTGTTATGTTCTTCTTTTAGCCATGGTTGAAGTGTTGCTTCTTTGGCGGAGACAAAAAAGATAGGATTTTATACTAGATACCCAAATGATCCTTCAATGTGAGTTTTTTTTTGACAGGAGATGATTTTTTTTAAGTTTACTACAACAGACAAAGACAAGGATGGATGTTAAGTGATGGCAATAACTCATGTGGCCCATCAGGCAAAGCGAGCTTAAAAAATTTGATACGATTTCCAGGAAAAACATTTCAAAATATAGTTGCAATTCTTTGTAATATCTATGCGCAGCTTATACTCCGGATCAGCAAAACATTTCTTTACCATCAGGGGCTCAAATAGAGATGGAAAATAAGTGTATTTGGTATCAGCTTTTTAATTGCTATAATGGCAGCAATCTCAGCCTCAGTATAAAACAATATAAGGTAAATGACAGAAAACTTGGAATTTTACATGACCTAGTTTCTTGTACAATTTCAGGGTATCAACCTGTTATTTACAAGGGTGACGATTTCTGAAAAGTTTGTAAATAAATAAGTGATAAGTGATTATGATAATTCATACAGGCACATCAAGTTGACCGAGATAAAGTAGTGGAGAGTTGTCCACAAAATAATATTTTTCACAGTAGTTTCATCTTTTCTTCTTATTCAATAAAACTAAATCATATATTAAACTAAGTACCTACACTTTTCTTCTGTCATCCTTATTCGTTCGTACTCTCACAATCGTAGGGTGAAAATCTCTTACTAATTCTTCAACATCAGCCTTCAATATATATATATGAAAAAAATATCTTAATAGGAAAAGCAGTGAAATCAATATGTAAAAATTTCTCTTAAAAAATTAAATCCAAAAATCATCTTGGAGATAACACGTGTTGATGTCTGTCTAAATAAAACTATATATTGATCTACGACTCATTTAATTGATGTACACCTTACACTGATTCTATCAATCAAAGGTTGTTGATCATTCATTTAAAGGCACTGAAAATTGGGACCTCAATGCTATTCAACTTTGTATTTTATTTACCCTTTTTAACCTTTTTGTTTCGAGCATTGATCACTGATGAGTCTTTTATAGACTAGTATCTATGATGAGGTTAGCATGAAAACTTAACTTTGGTTACTGCATCATTAACTAAGGTCAAAGACACATGACTTTCATTGCACAGCCATTTATATCTTAATTACATTGATTCTATACACCATATATAGAATTGCCCTAATCACAAGAAAAATGTGTCCATAGTACATGGATGCCCCACTCACACTATCATTTTCTATGTTCAGTGGACCGTAAATTGGGGTCAAAACTCTAATTTGGCATTGGTCTTCAACTTCATCAAAAACTACCTTGACCAAAAACTTTAACCTTAAGCGGGACAAACAGACAGACGGACTGACGAACGGACGGACGAACGAACGGACGCACAGACCAGAAAACATAATGCCCCTACTACTATCGAAGGTGAGGCATAAAAATCTAACATCCATCTTATAATCCTTAAAATGAACTAAAGAGTAGGCTATGTCATATAAACATGTTTCTATGGATCAACTAAGGGACTGAAACTGAAACCTAATTTTAATAACTGGATCGTTATAAAAGGTCATGGACAGGTGACTTCTGTCAGACAGACATGTCTAGCTTGCAATGATTATATAGACCAAATACAGTTGACATATTGCTCATAGTGATTATAAAAACAGACCTACACACAATAACAAAATGTAGCACATTAAAACCATGAATTCAGGCACACTGATATTTAAACCTTACAACACATGCAAATATAGCTGATAAACTGATATAACCTCAAAAACTTTATGCTTACCGTCCTTAAAGCGAGAAAAAAGATGAAAATGTAATTTCCCAAAAAGGTTAAACAGGATTTTTGATATGTTACTGCAATACATGGTACCACTTAGCACCAAATACATAGGTCTCAAAAATATTTGTCCTTGGTTTGAAATGAGAAATGACTTATTGTAATAAAGAACTATCTCTGGTGGACAATTCATTTTATCCCATTAAAAGGAAATATCCTTCCCTATATTCATAGATATCTTTTTGTGTTTATTTTTTAACCTGTCTATCAGAGAACTAGATTTTTTAAAGACACCAATGGCCATTCTTCAAATCTATTGAACCTATTAAATCTCATTACGTCCAGAAGCGATCAGATGGTTATTTAGATTCAAGAATTGTAAAGAGAGTGCAGCTGTGGTCATCAACTATAATTTCAAAAGGGGGAATACAAATATACCATTTCCTCAAGGTTTGATAGTATTTGGTAAATCTTCTTTCTTTACTGTGCCGGGCTCCTCTGGAGCATTATCACACAAATGGACTATAAACAATTAGAATCAGAGTTGTGTGAGACAGTTTAAAAGGAGGATAAAAACAAGTTGGTTTTTAGAAGCTATACTTGCTGATTCTCTCCTTGAAGGAGTCTAGAGAATCAGCAACGACCATGGCGTGTGGCATGGAGTTCCAAAGGACAAATATTTTACAACAAATTCTTGAAGCTAAATGATGACAATAGCCGACATAGTCCCTTTGGGCCAGATGATCTAAAGAGGTGAAAATATGATGTGCCATTGGGTTCAATCAAATCATTTTGAAAGATCACAATATAAATATTTGATATAGAAGATTTACCTTTGTCACAGATTCTTCAAGATTTCCAATATACACCTCTATATCTGTAAATGCAGAAACAGAAACTTATTAATAAACCATCTAACTAATAAATGGGGCATATTTCACATAAAAAGATGAAGTTATAGAAATCCAAATAATATTACTGTGGTTGCATTTTTTGTCGTTGGGATTCAAGAAAACTTGCAATTTCGTAGTTATTTGATTTAATTGAACATTCAAATTCATGGTTCACCTAGCTATACCCACGAAATACCAAACATTTGGTATCATACGAATATTCATAAATTTACATGTAAAAATATTTTATATGTTTGTGTAAAGTTCTAGCTGAAAGTTCTTACAAATATAATAGTTTTTTAGGAAGAATGATTCAGGAATTTTAAAATATCTAGAAGCTCTGAGGATTATAAATGGCTGATATGGGACACTACAGAATATCAAGTACAAATCAGATTTATTCTATTTCCATTTTCAAGGCATAAGCAAAGAATTAAAAATGGGTAATTAATTATTAAATGAGTCAATTGGTAATTTTTGCCATGTATGACCTTTAATTTTGTAGATCTAGATCTTGCCTCGTTGGTCATTTTTACTGTTACAGTTTTTCCAAGATAAGAGCTAAACATTGTGGTGCTTAGTGCTGGTCTAATGAGGTTAAGCATTTTCCAATTAATTTTTAGAGTCTGTTCTTATGTTGTGCTGTTAGACCGCTTTCCCCAGGCTAGAGGAGTAAAAAGATAATTTTGATCATGTTGGATTTGTTCTGAGAATTATTTCCCTCTTTCTATCATAGTTTTATAAATAAGAGCTGAAACACACAAAAAAAACCTAAAATTATTTGTTTAAGGATGTTCGCTCCTCTTGTTTTTGAATTTTTGCCAGATTTTGGGAATCCTCTGGTTTCCATGTTTTGCCATTAAAAAATTAAAAAATCCACTAACATCTACTTTTCTTTTCATAATTTTATTACATATAGTTTAAAAAGCCATTTTTGAAAACCTTATAAAATCCTTGTTATTTTTTTTATAGATTTTGAAAGAAAAAAGGTGCCAATGATAAATATATGAAAAATCTAGAGAGAATCACTTCCAGCCAAATTTTCAATGGCTTATATCTCGAAAACAAGCACACAGACCCTTCAATGTTTTCTGCTTTTTAAGTTCCTTTAATTTATTTATATGCTTTCAATTTATAACAGTTTTTTAAAAAGCTTGTTATTTTGAAACAGAGTAGCAAACATCCTTAAAGCAAAATAAATGTAATAAGGCAATATTTTAGATATATTTTGATGAACATTTGTACACTGGACAACATTTAAGCACAGATTATTGATATTAATATGATAGTAAATATAATGTTACATTACATGATAGTATGTACACACATTACCATTATACTGATTTCCTGGAATCTGGTTTACCAACAAAGACTTGGTATATTCAGTACATTCCTCATTTACAGTAGAGTTATCTATCTTGGAAGATGCGTCTAAATCTGTATGTTTCTCTTGAAATTGTGATAATCCTTTCACTGCAGTGTTGGGAATATTTTGTGAACTGCATGGTGTCTTGGCTTGCCTCAAATCACTTTCAATCTCTATTGGTGTACATGGTAGTGGTGAATTGGATGTAACAGACTCAAAATCATCACATGGAACACCAAGTAAATCCTTCATAGACTTGGAAAAACTATCTAGAAATAATAAAAAGCATTTCAAAATGGCATTAGAATGTTGTGTTCTATAACTCAATTAAATATGGGGAATTTCATAAATTAACTCATGTGAGCTAGCTTATATAAAATGGTTGATTGTCAATTTGATTTATTGGTGTCTGTTTTAGGTGTAATACCATCATTGTTTTTCCCCTATTAGTCTTTGTTAAATTTGCACTTTTCAAAAAATTGTGCAGAATTTATCTTTGTTTCAAATAAAGAAATACTTGGCATGAGTAAAGTTTTATCCTGTCCAGTACTACAGACAAAATTTCACCTAATGTTTCATTGCATATAAGAAAACAAGAGTGCACACCCTGAAATGTCTCGCCTTCTTTACTAATCATTGATATTATGTTGATAGTCCTAAATATAAAGCTTTATTACAACTGTCACATAAACTTCACATTAACCAAGTAAACTAAACATTGACCAATGAACCATGAAAATGAGGTCAAGGTCAGATGAACCATGCTAGGCAGGCATGTACAGCTAACAATTCTTCCATACAACAAATATAGTTGACCTATTGCTTATAGTTTAAGAAAAACAGACGAAAACACAAAAACTTAACACTGAGCAATGAACCTTGAAAATGAGGTCAAGGTCAAATAAAACCTGCGTGACTGACATATAGATCATAAAATATTTCCATACACCAAATATAGTTGAACTATTGCATATAGTATTAGAAAAAAAGACCAAAACTCAAAAACTTAACTTTGACCACTGAACCATGAAAATGATGTCAAGGTAAGATGACACCTGCCAGCTAGACATGTACACCTTACAATCATTCCATACACCAAATATAGCTGACCTATTGCATGCAGTATTAGAAAAAAAGACCAAAACTCAAAAACTTAACTTTGACCACTGAACCATGAAAATGAGGTCAAGGTCAGATGACACCTGCCAGCTAGACATGTACACCTTACAATCATTCCATACACCTAATATAGTAGACCTATTGCATACAGTATAAGAAAAACAGACCAAAACACAAAAACTTAACTATAACCACTGAAGGTAAGATGACACCTGCCAGCTAGACATGTACACCTTACAATCATTCCATACACCAAATATAGCTGACCTATTGCATGCAGTATTAGAAAAAAAGACCAAAACTCAAAAACTTAACTTTGACCACTGAACCATGAAAATGAGGTCAAGGTCAGATGACACCTGCCAGCTAGACATGTACACCTTACAATCATTCCATACACCTAATATAGTAGACCTATTGCATACAGTATAAGAAAAACAGACCAAAACACAAAAACTTAACTATAACCACTGAACCATGAAAATGAGGTCAAGGTCAGATGACACCTGCCAGTTGGACATGTTCACCTTACAGTCCTTCCATACACCGAATA